TTTGGTTTAATTATTTTGAGGATTGTAGGGAATGGTTGTGCTACATATACATCACTACTTACAGATTGGTGTACGTACACATAATGTGGTGAGATATGAAAGTTTTCCCATGTTACAACCTCCGAACCAATTCAGTCTATTCAGTTAAACATTCCACTAGGGCGCCTGGTCTTGACTCTTCCGTGTGATATTCATTCTCGTTCGGCTCTTGGAATCACTTCCAGCAGTGATTGGAACAGCTTGCAAAATCCAATCACTTCACCTACTTCATTGCCCCCAACTCTTTCTTGTACCTCTATTGAAACAGAATGGTTTTCATGTTCTTTTATCGTTTGGTTATTCCTCTCCGTTAAAACTTTACGTAACTCCTTATATACAAGTAGAATTATTCTTGTAGGAAAAGATTTTTTTCCCCTAATTTTTTGTAGTTCGGTGAATTTAGAAGAAATGGGTTGATTATTTCTGGGATTGTAGGGAAAGCTATGTTTTTTCTTGGCTGATTTATTGCAGTTTGATGAATTTGGAGTAATTCTATAATTGGTTTGGTTTAGTTGTTTGTATGGGATTATAGGTAAAAGTTTTTTTCCCCTTAATTTCTTGTAGTTTGGTGAATTCAAAGGAGGTGAGATTGGTTTAATTATTTCTTGTACAGTAGTGTAAACCACGGTTTGTCTTTATTGATTTATTGTAGTGGGATGAATTTGGAGTAATGGATTTGGCTTAATTGTTTCTGGGATTGTAGGCAAAAGTATGTTTTATTCCTAATTTATTGTAGTTTGGTGAATTTAGAGTAATGGGTTTTGTTTAATTATTTCTGGGATTGTAGGCAAAATTACGGTTTATTTTTGCTGATTTCTTATAGTTTGATGAATTTGGAGCAATGGTTCAAATATTTCTAGGATTGTAAGGAAGAGATTCCCCCCCCCCCCCCCCCCCCNCCTAAAAATTCAATAATTTGTGATTAAAAAATAATTTGACAAACTAATTTGAAAATCTACAATAGACGAATAAATTGTAGCCTATAAATTTTTTTAATTTGTGACCGATGAAATAAATTATGACCTATAATTTTTTATTTATAGCCGTGAAATAATTTGTAACCAATTAATTTGATAATATGTAATCAATAAATAAGTTGTGACCTATAAGTAATTGCCGTAATCATTAATTATATAATTGTGATCTTAATATATTTAGCGCTTGTTTGGTAGGAATTTTGTTAACTGATTTTTTAACCTTTAAAGGTAAAGTGGGTTCTACCTGTTAGAAAAGAATTCAAAAATGACGGTTAGAATAGTAAAATAACAATAAAAAAATTAATGTTAATTGGATTAAAATCTTTACCAAACATGCTCTTAATAAATAAAATATTTTTAATTATTTATTTATCACATGAGTTTTGAATTTTGAAACCTAAAAATTGAATTGACAGTTAATACTTGAGTTGTGAATTTTTCCCAATTAACAATACTTGCATGTTTACCATATAATTATTTCGTTACTAATATTAGTTTACATATAGTTATTAAAATCTATCGAGCTAAATTAGATTTGAGCAAGTGTACATGTGACAATGACGTTATAGACATGACTTGTTCTTTGATTGAAAACCGAACTCAACTATAAGTGATTTAGAGAAATTATTTAATGGCATCATCGATTCTAAATAATTTTAGGCTATCGAAGTTGTCTGACAAAGGTTACCTAAAACTTCCCAACCGTTTGGCCACAATTTTAAAATTCATTTTTCTTAAACTTATTTTTAGATTAAGAGTATCGTATTCTATTCAACTATTTTGGGATTTTATGGGCTTATACAGTTAAATCTGAACTAAAGATTCATCCGATGTTTGTTGGGTTGATTTCAAGACTCATGAGACACACAACTTTATCAATTTTTAAATCATATATTTTATTAATTTTTATCAAAATCTATTAAAATTTTGATTTTTTTTCTTTTTTTCTTTTACCTAAACTAAACTTAACAGCGGCTTAACTACTTTTACTCAAATCATGGGGAAAAGATGACTTCGTGTCCTTGTTAGTAAATTGGCTTATATGCACAAATGGTTCCCTATGTATGAAGTCGTGGTGGCTTATATGCACAAATATTTCTCCATAAATGCGATAATGTGTATATGTTAAAAACATTTCACACAATTAAAATATAATTTAGTTATTAAAAAGAACAATGTTATTCATAATGAAAATTACTAGTAATCACTCTACGTGACATATTGTTTAGTCACGGGCAAATACTACATAGTCGAATTTACCTTTACGAAAGAACCACATGTGATGCACACACCCTTTTAACAAAGAAGTTGAAAGACAGTTGATGGTAAGGATCATTTTCTCAGCCAAAGATTGAAAAGGGATGCTTGGTCCTCTTTGTGCAGGAAGTCCATATTATTATTGAGGACCATTCATGCAAATAAGCCCCAAACGAATTTTCCACAAACTATTTCCATGAGCGTCCCAACAGCTGCCACGATTCAAACAACCTATGCCAACAACCAAATTCTACTTATAAATTCACACCAAATTTACAATCAAAAGAAAAAGCTGAGCAAAAATGGCGGTGAAGGAGGAGAAATCTCAACCGACGGTGGTGATCAACAAGTTGAAGTTCACCTACCCTGGAATTGATGGCCATCCTCCACCTGGGTCCGCCCCTTTAATCGATGATTTCTCTCTTATTCTCAATCCCGGCGATCGATGCCTTCTTGTTGGATCCAATGGCGCAGGTACTTTCTTTTCTCTCTCTTTTCTTTAATGGTTTTTTTTAATAATTTCTTGTAGTTTGGTAAATTTAGAGGAAATGGGGTTGGTTTAATTGTTTGTGGGCTTGTAGACTGTAGTTGTAGGGGAAGGTACGGTTTTCTTTTTCTAATTTATTGTAGTTTGCTGAATCTAGA